AATTTTCTTCTCTAACAGGTAATCTAACTGCTTCCTCAGTTCGTCGAGCTCGGGCTGTGTCAGTCTGAACTGTCGCTGTACGCTTGGCTGTGCCCCGGCTTCTAACTCTATTCGGTTGTCGTGTGCTCTCTGAGGTGGCAGTCCCTCCGGTAAATCGTCGGGAAAAATCCCCGGGTACCGTTTCAACAGTTCCTGTAGTTCGGGCGGTACCGCTGCCAGAAGTTTCTGAAAATCGCTCGGCTGCTCTGCTTCTCCTACTACTGCGATGTCCACTGCGTACACGTCAGCTCCAGCGGCGACGGCCCATTTCATTGTGATGGCGTTGACGTGGACCGTTGAAGACTCGGGCGATTGCCAGCGAGGTAGCTCAACCCAGTTACCGCTACTTCGCACAGTGCAGCTACCCGTCGTCCAGTCAATTCTCGGGTTATACCGTCGCAGCCAATCACGTCCCAGTAAAATGTCGTGCCCATCCAGTGTCGTCGCGAACATTTCCTGTGTAAACCCGAATCCCCCCCCGCAGCGGACTTTTACTCTCTCCACCTTCTCCCGTATTGCCAGCGGTGTGCCGTCAACTAAGCGTGCATCTACCTCCGGTAAACACCGGCTAAGTGTCAGTTGCAGTTTCCATGCGGTCGCGGTATTAACTAAACCGTGACTTGCTCCTCCGTCGATAAAAATCTTCACTGCTGCTCCCTGTATTTTCCCGTGGATCAGTACTGGGCAATCCGTCGCTGTACCCTCCTTATTCGTCCGAGCCCGATCGATAGCATGAATCGGTACTGTGACTCGGTGAGGGTCGGTGAGGTTGGGCGAGCAGGCAGTCTCGTCAGTAGTTGGCCCGATTCCTACTGACTGCTGGCGCTTCCCTGCCTTGGAGACTCCCTCCCCTGCTCTGCTCCGCGGCGCCTCAGCTCCTCTGGGCACTCACTCTTGCGATGGCCCGGCCTATTGCAAGCAAAGCAGCGCCCCTTAAACGGCGCGGAAGCTGCATTTGTCGCAACGGCATGTACGGTGGCGTGCTCGATCGGTCCCCGAGGGCGATGTCCGTAGTAGGACCCCGGTCTCGGACGGCGCAGAATGTCGATTTTCTCGGCGAGCGCTAGAATCTCGTTGAAATTCGAGAGTCCGCGTAGCATGATTTCGTGCGAGATGTCCGGCTTCAGCACTCCGACGTAACGGTCCACCCGCTCCGCTTCGTGCATGTAGCCAACTTGCTCGCATAATGCGAGAAAACCGCTCGTGTAGTCTTGAACCGATCCGAGCTGCCGCCAAGTACGCAGTCTCTGACGCGCCGAGATAGAAGCCGCGATCGGCTCGAAGCGCGCCCGAAGCCCTGCGCACCACGCATCCCACGTGCTGGCGGTTTCGCAGAATGAACTCCAGGTGACGGCTTGACCCGTGGGCCCTTCCTCTTGCGACGGTGGCTCGTAGGCGCGTGGCGACGTCACGATGACTCGCCACCAGTCCATGGCGGGGCCCCTCAGCAGCGAGACGGCGTATCGGATCTTCGCTGCGTCCGACTCGACGTAGTTCGCGTCGAAGAAGACGTTCATCGTGAAGACCCACGATTGAACCGTCGGACCTCTACGCTGGCTCGGGTCGAAACAGGGCGGGCGTTGCGGCTTGCGTGGCATTGGTGCCATGATGGCGTGGTCGCCAATTGTCGCCGCAAACTCCACGTGCCGTCGGGCTTCGCGAGGCCCCTGCGGGCTTGGCGCGGCCCTGTTCCTCTCCAGGCCAGGCATCGATTGAGCGGCGCCATCACTGGCTGCGCCTGAGCGCTGTCCCACGCTATCGTTTTGTGTCGGTGTGCCTGGTGAAATGACGATCGGCTCCTCCGATTGTGCAGGTGCATTTGCAGGTGCGTGTGGTGGCGCTGGAGCATTCACCGTGGATTGCTGACGAGCGGAGTCGCGTTCCGCCGTGAGTGTCGCAATTTCGAGCGCTGAGTCTTCGACTTGGCGCACGAGACGGTCGAGTTGCTCCTGCGTCAGTGTCGCGGGAGTGAATCCGGCCATGGCGGGGGTGTCGGGCAAGCTCAGCGAGAGCCTCTGTCGTGGCCATGCGTGCTTACGAGAGAGCACTACGAGCGGCGGTGCTTGTTTCGCTGAGAGACGTCTACCCCCCCAAAAAATTGAGATAGTGGGGAAAATGGGGTGCGCGACGGGCCTAGCACCGAGGTTGGGAGATGTCGAGGCGGAGGTCCGGAGCGCGGGTTACCAACCGAACCGTGAAGTTGGGTCGCGTCGTGAACAGTGGCGGGAATAGTGTCGAAGCGAGTGTCGCGAGTGGTAACGGATTACTGTTGGGTGCTGTTGGCGGGAACACTGGTGTACGCGCTGAGCAGGGACGCGAAGTAAGGAAAAGGAATTTTCCTTACAGTTTTCTAACTGGGATAGGAGATGTTACACGATATGGCTCGGATCGAGTACACTACACTGTAGGAGCAGGTCCGAGGGCCGGTGCAGAAGGCCGTGGTGGAGTGTGGGGCGACTGGATGGTGCACCTCGTCAAGAACGGTAGAACACTGCCGAGCACGTACAACGGATTTTGGTTTGGTGGAAAGTGGGTTTGCTCAGTTTTAAGTTTTAAGTTTTAATAAGGTCGTGACCCAGACAATACAGAGGCAAAGAAGGAGTAACCCAAGCCAGAGGCCTACGCTAAAAACAGCGTTACTTTGCTGAACTAAGTTCACATGCAAGAAAGTTCCTGCCCGCTCCATATTGTAAATAGAGTTATCTTCGTGCCTCTACGGGGGTTGGAAAGCACTGTTGAGAGTAGTTGGGGGGACCCATCTGGAAAGTGGGTTTTCTCAGGTATATCCAACAGAGGAACAGCTTCGTCGCACCACCAAACCTGAACTTGACTGCCACGTATGCCACTCCCTCGACTTTCAACTCTCTGCCGGGCACGAAACAATTCTTCAGGATTCAACGCGTTTGAAAATTTAGATTCGTGTCGATGCGTGATAGGAACGCGGCTCCTGCCAGCCCGAGCCGCGCATGGAGCACCGGCCTAGACAAGCGCCCCATGCCTCTGATCGTCCATCAAGCTCAAGGAAGTCGAAAATTGTTCTCACAAGTAGTCAGGTATTGCTATTTCCAGACCCTTCAGAGATATCCTTACAATCGTCGCACTCACTTTTCCTTTCATTCCTTGAACGTGTGATTCTCAACGTCATAGACTACTCGGCATAAACTTCCCAAAAGTGACGAGGGGACCACCTGTAATACCAACGGCCCACCTATTATGGGATGCAAAGGCCCGGCGCAAAACACCCCTGCTGTTCTCTTCCTCTCTGCACACGACTTGGGCTTTTGGGATGTCAGCCGGATCGGCAAGGCCACGGGGAAACCGTAGCCGCAGCTCTGGGTGTAAGTACCTGAGGACGACACAAGCACATGTGCCTATACCGGGAGTGACTGCGACGACAGCCGCTCCACCGTATCTATTCCAACAGGCTCGCTTTTCGTCGCGGAGTTACTTTCAGCAGTAGGACCCCTTTCCCGCATTTCCGTGCCGTATGTAAGTGAAAACATTCTACATTGCACTCGGTAAACGACCCAAACAATTTATTGCACAAAAAAGGAAAAAAAACAATCAATAACAAACTGTGCGAGTTTTTACTGGCACGGAGTACACAGTACGTAATGGGCTTAAAAAACCCTACGTACGACCTTACGTGTCCCTCCTCGCGAGCGGTACATGATCATGTATAACCTTAATTCGCGGAGACTGCCCGTCAACATAATCGACGGTTTTCTTCGCCGGACAGCCTGCAGAACGTAGACTGCATTTGTAGTATATTCTCTTGAACGGAAATTCCTCTTCCGTATGAATGGTCTTCCTTCCATCGTCGCGCCACGTGTGGATTGCTCCACTTGGGCTTGGTGCCGTGTTTGCAGGTGCAGACGTATCAGCTGCAGACGCAGCTGGACTGGAAGCAGCAGACCCACCAGCGGTACTAGGAGTGGCAGGTGCTGATGTGGACGGAGTCGTTGTCGTTGTAGGGGTGGTATGGGTGGTAGTGCTTGGGGTGTTAGGAGTTGAATTGGTAAGAGTTGGGGTGACAGGAGAGGCGGTGATAGGAGGTGAAGTGGTAGGAGTTAGGGTGATAGGAGTTCCGGGGATAGGAGGTGAAGTGGTAGGAGTTGGGGTGATAGGAGTTGCGGTGATAGGAGGTGAAGTGGTAGGAGTTGGGGTGATATGAGCTGGGGTGATAGGAGTTGGGGTGTTAGGAGCCGGGGTGATAGGAGCTGGGGTGATAGGAGTTGGGGTGATAGGAGCCGGGGTGATAGGAGCCGGGGTGATAGGAGCTGGGGTGATAGGAGCTGGGGTGATAGGAGTTGAAGTGGTAGGAGTCGGGGTGATAGGAGTTGCGGTGATAGGAGGTGAAGTGGTAGGAGTTGGGGTGATATGAGCTGGGGTGATAGGATTTGGGGTGTTAGGAGCCGGGGTGATAGGAGCTGGGGTGATAGGAGTTGGGGTGATAGGAGCCGGGGTGATAGGAGCCGGGGTGATAGGAACTGGGGTGATAGGAGCTGGGGTGATAGGAGTTGAAGTGGTAGGAGTCGGGGTGATAGGAGTTGCGGTGATAGGAGGTGAAGTGGTAGGAGTTGGGGTGATATGAGCTGGGGTGATAGGAGTCGGGGTGTTAGGAGCCGGGGTGATAGGAGCTGGGGTGATAGGAGTTGGGGTGATAGGAGCCGGGGTGATAGGAGCTGGGGTGATAGGAGTTGGGGTGATAGGAGTTGAAGTGGTAGGAGTCGGGGTGGTAGGAGCTGGGGTGGTAGGAGTTGGACCGGCATCTTTCATGAACCTCGCCCTCTTATTTCCCTTCTCCCCCATCTCTCTTACCTGTCGATTTGCAAGCTCTCTTGTCCCCCTCTTTGAAAGCAACCAGCCCATTTTCCTTTGAAGCTTCCTCCGGCTGCACCGTTGCTAACGGCGACTGTTCTGCAGGGTGTGAAGCGCCTGCGGTCAGGGTTATGTTCTTATTAGAGTCCAGACGGAAAAGAGGGGCGCGGATCTGTCGACGGATGCTCAGGGTCGACGGATCTGTCGACCAATACTGCGAAGTTGAGGCACTGATACTTCCAGATCCGAAGCCACACGGCGCCGAATGTTGCGGCATGTTGGTGGTCGACGCAGGCCTGGCGTCGTCGTTGCTACCACTCGTATCACTCGCCGTGTCCCCGCGCGAAAGCATGTTACCGAGCGCCGAACTTCGCTGCATATTGGTGGTCGACGCTGACCTCAGGTCGTCGCCGTCGTTGCTTGTACTCGCGCCCGCCTGGCTTTTGTGTCGCGTCATCTGCTGCAGTAACCCTATGACAGTCGGCCGGGTGTCGCCATCAAAAGCACCAGCAGTAACTCCGAGGGCGCCAACGTAAGCACCCTGATTCCCGTACTGCTGCTCTGCCGTGGCGTCAGCTTTTGCACCAGCGTCGGCATTAAAATTGGTGTCAGCGTCAGCGTCAGCATCAGCACCAGCAATATCACCGACGGCAAAGCCTACGGCACCAGCACCCTCGTTCCCGCATTGCTGCTGCTCTGCCGTGGCGTTATCCTCCGATGCCAAGACTCTCAGACGCGGAGTCCCCGTCTGCTGAGTGGAATCGCCTGCTATCGCGGCGGGATTGTCATTGTGGGTCTCGCGTTGCTGCTGCTCTGCCGTGGCGTTATCCTCCGATGCCGATTCGACGTCCAGACGCGGAGTCCCCGTCTGCTGAGTGGAATCGCCTGCTATCGCGGCGGGATTGTCATTGTGGGTCTCGCGTTGCTGCTGCTCTGCCGTGGCGTTATCCTCCGATGCCGATTCGACGTCCAGACGCGGAGTCCCCGTCTGCTGAGTGGAATCGCCTGCTATCGCGGCGGGATTGTCATTGTGGGTCTCGCGTTGCTGCTGCTCTGCCGTGGCGTTATCCTCCGATGCCGATTCGACGTCCAGACGCGGAGTCCCCGTCTGCTGAGGAGAATCGCCGCCTATCGCGGCGGGATTTGCGCCGGCGAGTTGTAACGAAGTGGCCGGCGAGGCGTTAAACAAATCGACTGCAAACATTCCCAAAGCAGCCGCATGAAGATCTTCCGGCTGAACAACTTGACTGTTCTCCCCCGCTTCGCCGTGTATCTCGCGATGCAGTTCGTGGGGCGGAACAATTAACCCCTCTCCAACGGCGGATGCACCAGAATGGGTCCAGCCACCCGCGTCCATGGCGTAATTGCTGGCTCCCCACAGGTCGGGAATTGAATCCCAAATACGCCATGTGCTCCACATGAAGGGTAAGGAATGAGACAGCTCGGAAAATATATCCAGAGGATCGAAGTGAGCCATTTGCCGCAATTGAGCTGGGTGATGTGCTCCGTCGCAGCGCCCAGTGAAACGCAAGCAACGAATCTGTGGGGGGGTGGGATGGGACGGGACGCAAAGCACTGGCCAGGAGCATTCGGGGTCGCGGGGATGACTGGCTTCGCCGCGAAGTTGCCACGGGCTTCACTTCATATCCAGAGAGACTTGCAAATTCGGCAGGGTTGAGATTCAGAACTCTTTTTGCTGCTGCGAGAATTTCTGGGTTTTATACAGCTCCAGGCTCTCTCTCACCACCGTGCACAGTTCGCTTGCGTGCAACGAGCGCCAGCTGACGCAGGCGCTGCATGAACATTTCAGTTCAGTTCAGATCCATCTTCGCCTGTATCACTGTTCCGCTAAGACAAGAGTTCCACCCTGCTTTTGCGGCTGTAATATTTAAGGGCAAGTACCCTGATGAAATCTTGGAAACAAGTGTCGACACTCTACTTTTATCCCATATCAAGACCGTTAGACCTTTGCGGCACTGCTATGTAGCTTACGAGAGCAAAAATGCTGCGAAGTATATTAGCTAAAGCTCACAAGACAGAGTTGGGGACGCCTCACAAGGCACACCGCAGTGACAGGGCTAACTCCGGTCCTTACTCGGACCTTGCTGGGTCCTCCAGAACATGTGAAGTTGCCGCAAGTGGACACACCACTTCCGTGCGCTGGAGCGTTGGTGGGTTGTGAGCGCAAGTGTGAGGAAGGAGGATCAGTGCCCCGCGCCGCATGTCCAACAGACACATTCATTTCCCCATTTTTTTTTTTCCTAACGATTTCTGTTGTCAGCGGATGCAGAGGGTCCAGCGCGATTGCGCTGGCAGTGGCGAAGGAGCTAGTTTGTGATTCGCTCGTTCACGTTCACGGCTGGTGATCGGCTTTGCGAATATTCCATTCCAATTCATCGGACGGCTGAGACAGCTTGAGATGGTCCGACTCCAGAAAATTGGGAACCTCACAGCTTCATCAACCAAGGGTGGTCCGAGGACCGGCCCGAAACAGCGAGATCGAGTCCGAAGGCTGTGTAGAATAGACCACGTTATACCGCACAAAACCGTCATTCATTTGTTCCTTTCTACGTTCACATATCTTGTATCTGTTCAAAGCGGTTAGTCTCGGTTCATGGCGGTAAATACAACAAGCCGCTTGGTTTGGGCACCATTGTCCTTCAGTTTATAATTGCTCAATAACCATCCCGACTAATCTAAACATTGAATTGACCACTGTACAACGTGAAGAATCTCATTGAGCCGTACTCAAACGAACAAAAATGACACGCCCTTAGAGAAGTAATGTTGCAACCTTGCATCAACTCTCATGAGACCTCCTGTCTTGTGTTGTTTCATCTTCTGCGCGCTGGTATCAAGCGGAAACGCGCACATCCATCCACCTCCACCAAACCAAACCCTATATTTTCTACCTTGCTTGTACACTAATGCCATTGTTATCCTGCATTGCGTCCCATCCCATCCTGTCATACCGCACCTGTTATTCCTGTCGGCTTCCTCCCACATGCGACCCCCCTGCCCCTTAATGCCCCCGCGCGGACTGCATCCGCACTGCCGCCACGCACTACGTCCCGAGTCGACCCATGCCCCAAGGGCCACACCATTCCACCGCGCTTCACCTCCCCACCCCCCTCACTGCGCGCTATTCTCCTCCCCTCTCCGCCTCCCACTGGTCACAATTCCCCCCCATGCGCGCCCCCTCTCGCGCGATCCAGGGTGCCAGCAGCCACACAAGTCACACTCCGCATGTGACCCCCGTCCTTCCCCCACCCCCCTGCCCCTATCCGCCTCCCCATCTCACCCCCGCTTCCCCTAGAATAGACATGAGGGAGAGACGATAGGGTTGAGAGCTGTCAAGGCTTCAGCTGATAATCTTCGTGTGCCCCCGTCCTTCCTTTATCCGCCTCTCCTTGCCCGCCCCCTTCTTCCACACCCCCCACCCACCCACCCCTACACCACCCCCACCTCTCCCCATCCCTTCAGATACAAATGATAAAGGCTTCGGTTGACAGCATCCGCAACACAACCACTCTACCGACCACACGTTGAGCCTCCCCCTTACGTGTACCGCAGTCTGAGACGTTTCGGACTTCACGTTGAGCCGCTCCCACACGCTACTTACTTACGGTACGCAGGAAGATGGGGCACCGGAGCGTCGAGGCGAGACGACGAGGAGCACAGCCACTCTACCGACCACACGTTGAGCCGCCCCCTTACGTGTACCGCAGTCCGAGACTTCTCACAGGCTACTTACGCAAGAAATTGGGGGCCACCGGAGCGTCGAGGCAAGTCGAGGAGGAGGAGGCAGGGGCGCTGCTTGATAGGGCGCTTGCGATAAGAGAGTGTCAGAAGACTAAGGAATAGTAGTACTTGATAAGGCGCTTTCGATAAGAGAGAAGACAGAGACCAAGGCACATAAACATGCCGTTAAGAAGGCACGCGTGCAGACAGTGAAAAGGCTTTATTATATTCGAGGGTATCCTGCTGACATGCTCATGGTACAGATGCAGTGGATTAGTCTTAAGTACAAAAACAACACAGATTGTGACTAGCTGACTGTCAAATGTTGTAGCCTGTGGTGAGGTTTGTCTTAGGGGGTACAGATGTTAGGGTTTGTTATATGCACCCCAACCCACATCAATGAACCAACACTTTCAATCTTGACATGGTATCACCTAGGTTAGGATCCTGTGGGATCCCGTTCCTCTCGTTCACGTCCGTAGCGCCCGAGCCTGTCTCGTACCCTAGTGCCCGTTACGCTCGTACTGTCCCCTAGCGCCTATCGCGCCTGCCGTTACGTCGTTCTCGTGCCATAGCGCCCGCTGCGCCTGCCGTTAAGTCGCTCTCATGCCCCAGCGCCCGCTGCGCCTGCCGTTACGTCGCTCTCGTGCCCTAGCGCCCGCTGCGCCTGCCGTTACGTCGCTCTCGTGCCCTAGCGCCCGCTGCGCCTGCCGTTACGTCGCTCCAACTGTCCCGCCGCGTCACACTGTCCGTGCGCGTCGCGCCGTCCGTCCCGTCCCGTCCGTCCGCGTCACGCTGCCCGTCCGCGTCGCGCCAGTCCCGTCCCGTCCGTCCGCGTCGCGCTGCCTGTCCGCGTCGCGCCGTCCGTCCCGTCCCGTCCGTCCGCGTCGCGCTGCTCGTCCGTCCTGTCCCGTTCGTCCGCGTCGCGCTGCCCGTCCGCGTCGCGCAGTCCGTCCCGTCCCTCCGCGTCGCGTCGCGCAGTCCGTCCCGTCCCTTCGCGTCGCGTCGCGCAGTCCGTCCCGTCCCGTCGCGTCTCGTCGCGTCGCGCTGCCCGTCCTGTCCCTTCCCGTGGCGCTGCGCCCTCCTAGTCCAGCAGTGTTGCGCCCTACTCTGTGTCCCGTAGCGCCCTACCCTATGTCTCGTAGCGCCCTACTGAGTCGCTCTCAGTGATTAGGGTTTCAGCAGCAGCACTTCCCACCTCTTTGCTTTTGCTATGGCGACCGCTAGGGTTCTTCGTTTTGACGCTGACGGTAGACCGCTCGAGTTTTCAGGTCCAGGCGGGCGAGACCCTCTGGGCGCACGCTACTGGTGACCTTCCTGCGCCCGACGACCCTACGCCTTTAGGCCCTGCCCCTGACGACGCCGCCAGAGACCGCTTTACCCGCCAGCGTGCTGACCTGACGGCGTGGAAGTCGCGTGACGCTGCGGCCTGCATCGCTCTTAGCAGCCTCCTCCCTGAGTCTGAGGAGGCCCACTTCACTCAGGTTCGCACTGCTAGTGAGTTCCTGACTGCGATCAAGGCCCGCTACGCTACTCCCACCACTGTCTCTCTTGGCCGCCTCTTCCTACCGTTCTTGTTCCCTGACCTCGCCTCGTTTGAGCGCTCTGCTGACTTGATTGCTCACTTCCGCTCGCTCGATTCTAGCTACCGCGCTGCTTGCACTGACGCACAGCTTGCACTGCTTCCCCCTCCCATGGCGATTACTATCTACTTCATTGCCACTAGCCTCCCTGACCGCCTTGCCTCGGTTCGTAACACGCTTCTTCTGAAGCACCCTAGTGAGCTCACTATCGAGGTCCTTGAGTCTGCGCTCAAGGACGTCGAGAGCAACCTCCGCTCAGTAGCCTCTGCGGAGAGTCACTCTACAACGGTAGTGAGCTTGACTACGGGGGTTGGCACGAACGACTAAGAGTGATCGTAGCTTTGCTTGCGTTCCTTAGCACTTGCACATTCACGGGAGAAATCGGCAAGAGTTTCCACTAGCAAAGTTGGAATTACAGAATGATTGAACAAGCAATGACAACAATGACTACATCAGGCACCTAGCAACTCTGCAGCTAGCCTGGTCGACCGCCAGCACAGCTTGGTCGACCGCCTGCCAACATTGCGTAGAGGAGCCGCGCCAGCACAGCAGAAGGGCGACCTGCCAACGCTGCAGGTCGACGGCGTGCCAACGCTGCAACAAAGCGGCTGTCCAGCATTGCCCCGTAGAAGACAGTAGTGCGCACGCTCGCAGGTGCGCGCAGACGATTGGCCCGACTTGCACCGTTGTGCATCCGTCGGCTGTTGTCTGCGCCTGACGAGCCACATCGACTTCGGGATACCAGCCCGAAGTCGCCTTCGCCATCGCGACCTCGACGACGTTCGTGTGCCTCCGCATAACTCGTCGAACAGGTTACCCGGTCGACCTGGTCGACCATCAAGTGCTCCGGTCGACCACCAGTGCCTCTGGTCGACCACTGGGTCCCTCTGGTCGACCACCAAGTCCCTCTGGTCGACCACAGCTCCCGTCGAGCTACCCCCTGGTCGACGGACCCCTTCTGTCGACCAGAACAGGCAGATGATGTCGCCGAGCTCCCCTCGTCGACCGCTGCTCAGTTGTCAGGTCGACGGACTGCTCCGTCGACCTCCCGGTCGAACTGCAACACCACACCGGTCCCCTGCAGCTCGACCAAGCCTGTCGAGCAGCTCTCCCACTGTGAACGGTCGGCTGCTACTCCCGTACATCCGACCAA